CCCCCTCCCCCTCCCCCTCCCTCTCCCTCCCCTAAAAATCGTACTCCTTAACTAAGAACCTAGTGTTTCCAGCAGTCAAGGAAAAGGTACATGCAGTGAGTTGACCATACTTGATTAAGTTCATGATTCTCAATGCTTATAATTACTCATAAATTGGTTAAACTCTATTTCCATGCACACATTTCGTAAGATTCATAATTTAAACATATCTTTCGCAAACATGTACTAATCCTAACTAATTGAACTTTCACAAAAATGTAAAGTCTTTCACAACAGTTAAATTTAGATGTGTTACACATGTAGTATGTTACTAATACAATATCTTTGACAGTATGTGTCAAGTTTTCAAAATGGTCTAGTGGTGAAGTGTTAATTTGCAACGCAAAAACTTGTGTGGGAAGTTCTCAAAGGTGGTCTCAAGAGTAAAATTGAAATTTTGTGGTCAGATATTATAGCTCTGAAGGCAAATTATGGTGATAATGGCCCTGTCACATTAACTATAATGGTAATTCACTACGCGAAAAATCACCTTTTGCAGGGGCCAAAAAACGCTGCAAAAGGTCTTTTGCAGCGTTTTTCCAAGTGTTGCGGAGGTCGGTGTTGCCGTAGAGCGAAGGCTTTTTGCAACATTTTTTAAACGTTGCGAAAAATTCTTTTGCAATGTTTTTTCAACGTTGTGGGAAGACCCTTTTGCAGCGTTTTTTAAATGTTGCGGTAGACCTCTTTTGCAGCGTTTTTTCAACGTTGCGGTAGACTTTTTTTTTTTTTTTTATTCTGTTTTTAAATGTTTTGGTTTTATTTTTTTTTTTTTTTTTCAGTTATGGTAATTAAGTAATTGACACACAAATTAAAAATAACACTTTGTGAACACATTTTGGAATTGTATAAAAATTGATAATCATTATAAATTTTTGAATCCAAACACTTAAACGTTACAATTTGATACAACATCATCAAAATAAAAAGAAGTTTCAAAATGAAATAAAATTGTAACTCTCCTAGAAGTGAATCTTCGTCACCTTCATATGATTCGTCCCAAAATTTTGATTTATTTACTCCCTAGCAATGAAAGACCATTACTGCGAGCGGCTAAATTATCATTTGCCATCAACTATAACAGGCTAAGTTATTCAACTCCCCAAGCTTATCTTCCATCTTCTGTACCTCGCACAGCCCTGCACCATCCACTCCGTCCCCCGGTGAAGCATCATTACATCAATATCACATAACATCAATCAATAATCTCATTTTTAAACACCATAACCCTCTCATTTATTTGGATCTAAAGCTAATCTGTTGGACAATAAAAACCAGTTAAATAGGTTATAAAAACACATCAAAAACTGCATATTTTTGATCAATATCTTAGGACAAACAGCTAAATAGATCACTTAAAATGGAATTGTTGGAAAATTTATCTGTAAGCATAAAAATAGCATAAAAACTTGATTCACTTAAAGAAAGAAAAGATTAGTGAATAAACTCAAGATTTGAAGACAATTAAAGTAGGAGCACTTCAAGCACATTCCCTTCAATATTGATGTTCATGAGTCTAGTAAGAATCCTTGATATAAAAAAGAAGTTCCAACACAAAATTTACATCTCCAAACATTTCCTTTTCTTTCGACTGCAATTGCCTACACCCTGACCCATTTTCATTTCAAAAATTACAAAATTTCACTTTTAGTAGCTATGTTCCTATATGCTTCCAGTGCAAGCACTAAATTCCAACAGTAATCTTATCCCTAGGAAACTACTAAATAATTAATTCAAACAGAAAAGAAACATAGAGGAAGAAAAAAAATATAGACAAAGGAAATAATAAATAAAGAGAAGAAGACTAAAGTTACATGTTGCCACTCCTCTAACACCAAAAAACCACCATGTCAGTGATTGGGGAGTGGAGTTTGCACTTCAAAAGGTAGAGATCAATAAAAATAAGGCTAAAAGGAGCCTCAGGTACCCCTTGGCATGAACCTGAATGATTCAAAGAGTAAGCCTAGATCATAAATTTAAACATTCCCAATGAACACCTCATACCAAGGAGAGCCTTAAGGTATGTGCTCCTAATAACATTGGGTGCAAGAAGGGTTGGGGATAGCAAAGAGGTAAAATGAGGTGTCCGATTTTGGAGGGGAGGTGGCACATCGATACGATTAGTGTAAAGTGGAGGTAGCTAATGTCTGTGAAGTTGCTAGAAGGGGTAATGGATGACAGACAAAGAACATAACAAGCTTTCCCATTTTGATTTTTTTTAAGGTAATTCAGGGGGAAAAAATTGGTTTCTTTTGCACAATAAATAGAACTCTGAAACTGAGATAGGCTTCTGCATAGTTGAGGCCGAAGTAAGGGTATGCATCTTCAAATCATCAATCACCTGAACATAAATATGCTTGTTGAAGAGGAAAACACACAATCTTGGTCTTTCTGGCGTTCATTCAACCTGAGAAGTCAAGAAATCGATGATGTTGAGTCATCATTGAGACACAAGACAGACAGAAACTAGTCTGAAGAAATGAATGAAATCAAAGTTCTATTACGGACGGTAAAATATATAGAATTACATCAATCCAGTGAACGAGAAGTCGTCACACAAAAAAGGTCAAATCAAGAAAGGAGCATCAATCGAAATTTTAATTTTGATTAAGTACCAAAAGAAATTTACTATGTTCTGCTACTTTAGTTCTTTCCATCGTGGCTACTAGATAGTCTTTTACACGTTTCCCATTTGTTTTGTTTTATAATAACGTGCTTGAAATCTCAAACTTGGAAGAATGTAAGCAGAGATCATATGTAATTCTTTTTCCAAAAATATTTATGTAATACAAACATGGATGATAGATTATTTATGCACCTTGAAAGCAGCAGCATATGTAAGTTTTGGACACGCTCTATATTTAAATTGTGAAACTGATTTTGGAGAAAAGTACAAGTTGCAATTGAATGGTATGTAGTGTTCTTACTAAATTTAGTCAGAGATGAGCCCAAGGGATAAGGTATATGATAGCTGCAACAAATACCAAAAACTACATAACCCAGATAACACCAAGACTTGCGCAACGACCGCCGTCGGTCGAGGGATCCGAAGTCAGTTTGAATACCAACAAAACCCATCACTTTATACCTGTTTCGCCCATCATTACTGCTGTCATAGACACTAGCAAGCCTATCCCAAGTCACAGACACCGAGTTGGGCTCAGCGTATTTACATCTATACCCCAAACCCTGCTACGAAATTACAATAAACCCAAAGAGAAAACCAAAAACAAAGCCACTTAAATTCAGTTCTTTTCCCGCTGCAAAATTTAAAATTTAGATCACCTGGAGGATTCGTTTCTTACACCCCATTGCCTCGCCCAAAGAGAAAACCAAAAGCAAGAAGACGAAGAAAATAATGAAGAATTAACTACTTGTCAAAAAAGTTTTGGTGGGGCTAGTGAGAATGAAAGCGAGAGAAGACTGAATGTTGTAACGGCGGGCGGCAGGGAGTCTGAGGGAATGAGAGCGAGAGAGATGAAGGTAAGGGTTTTCAATCTATCCTTAAGTTTTCATTAATATTTGATTTTTTTTTTCTTTGGCAGCCTTTTTTTGGACGTTGCAAAAACAGACTTTTAGCAACGTTTATTAAACGCTGCAAAATACCCTTTTCGTAACGTTTAATAAACGTTGCTAAAAGTCCGTCTTTTGCAACTTCTAAAAAATGCTGGAAAAGAAAACCCTTTTCGCAACGTTTAATAAACGTTGCAAAAGACAAACTTTTCGCAACGTTTCGCAATGCTTATTAAACGTTGTGAAAAGGGCCTTTCGCAACATTTAATAGACGATGCAAAAGAAAAATGTTTTGGCAACGTTTTATAAACGCTACCAAAAATAAAAAAATTAGCAATACTAAAAAAACGTTGTAAAAAGGCAACATTAGAAACATCACTTAAAAAATGTTGCCAAGCTCAATTTTGTTAAGCAATGGCAACATTCACGTATTAGAATGTTGCGATAGACCCCTTTAGCAACATTTAACTACCGAATGTTGCCATTTATGTGTTGCAAATACACATTTTTGGTGTAGTGATTGTTACATCGGTTTTCATTCTATGGATCAAATATATTCCAACACCCATTTATAGGTGGCTTCTTATTTTACTCCATTAATAAAAGAAATACTTTTAATCTTGCTCTGTTGTAGTTGGCTAGGCCACCCATCTTCTTCAAAGAGAAAAACATACTATTTGGGAGCCAACTTTTGACTTCAACGGTGGGCAAGCTAACATAAATAGGTAAGCAGTTAAACAATGTTGTCTTTTCAATCAATTGAAATTTATGTTAAAACCATTGGGTTTGGACTATAGTCCTTACAATTACTTACATGGAATAATTTTTAGATCCCAAAAACTTTGGTCCTAGTTCTTGAGTGATCCAACCTTTGATGTTGGTTGAACAGGAAGCATTTTTTACAATGTCCTCCGGGCGTGTTAAACAAGCACTACAAAAAGTTGATCTAGTGTGATAGGCGACTTTATATTTTAAGCCAACAGTTCAAGATAGTTATAGATTCGCCATTTTGAAGCATGTGCTTCTATTAATCCAGAAGAATGCAAAGGTCGTGAATTTGATCAAGTGGCTGCCGCTCAAGGATATTCTCCCTCTAGCTTTCAGGATGTAGAATTAGCAGCTATCACACAATCACCTCATTTAACCTTCGGAAAAAATCTAAATCATATGATTGTTGAAAACATGTCTATAGAAACCTTGTCCTCCAGATCAGGTAAAATATTGCTCGTCTTTATTGTGAGAATTACAATTAAAAAAAATTCTAAGCACGCATTATGAGTACCAATTTACTTATCAGGTTGTCTCCAATTTACTTATCAGTGTGATTATGAGTCAGTTATATATCTACCTACTATTGTATCGTGATGATATGCTAATAGCAGCAAAAAATAAAACAGTGGTCAGAAAGGTAAAAGCTTAGCTTAGTAGTGAGTTTGAGATGAAAGATTTAGGTTCAGCAAGGAAGATTCTTGATATGGAGATCTTCAAGGATAGGAAGGGGTATATTGACAAGACACTTTATAGGTTCAATATGCAGAATGCAAAGTCTGTCTCTACTCATTTGGCTTCCCACTTTAAATTATCATGTGACTCGTGTCCACAATGAGATGAAGACATTGATTATATATCTCGGATTCCTTATTCAAGTACACTAGGATCGCTTATGTATTATGGTTTGTACATGCTCAGATTTGGCACATACAGTTAGTGCAGTTAGCATGAATATGAAAATCTTGGCAAGGAATATTAAAAAATAGTGCAATAGATATTCAAGTACTTGATGGGCTCTACTAATTCTTGTTTACATTTTGATAGAAATACAGATGGAGTTGTTGCGGAAATTCTCGAGAAATCTTGATTCAGGCTCAAAAAAACCAATCAAATGAAGACCACAACCTCCAAGGCTTGACCCAAACTTCATTTACTATTGGTTGCCTTCTTTACCGTCTCTTGTTGCTCTCTATTTAGTACCTATAAAGGACACAAGGGGTGATTACAATGGGGAAGAAAGGATGAACAACAATGGTGAAAATATCTCCCAATTCTCCCAAACCCAGATGCCCCTTTCTCGTACTCTTTCTTCTATTGTAGCACACACAAGACATTCAGCTGTTTATATATGCAACTATTAGGTTAGATATACGGGTCTAGACTTATCAACATGGGCCAGGAAATACCTCTATAAATGGGTTCCTATTTAGCCAAATAAATGGGCTAATATCGAAGTCCTAACTCAAAATTGGCCCTTTTAAAAAGTTTTGGTCATTTTCGGGTCAATCATTACTTGAAATCTGTTTTAAATCATCACCCAAATTTATAGGGTATCAAAACCCAACAAATCTCCACATTGATACCCAATCAATTTGTAAGCAAACAAAACACAAAGTGTATACTTGCATAATTAAGGTAACTAATAAAATTGGTATCACAAACCTTATCTCGTGTTTTGGGCTCGAAACACATACCATACATATTCCATTTACTCACCAGGCTTAAGGTAAAAAAATACCAACAAAAAACACATAATCACCATAATCAATTAAGAGCATATTGAACATAGGATAACACTAGGATTTGTTTTCAAAAAGCACGTTTACACAGAACAATAGACTAACACTAAGGTAATCAATTAAATGGTTAAAATAATACAACAAATGTATAAATGACCCCACGAAAATATCTCACCACACTTATCATATCGCATTCCGTGTTGCTAGCACCTCATCTTCTCTCACTATCCACCATGCTCACTAGAAAGATCACTCAACTCATGTCCAATTAGTAAATCACAATAGATTCTAAGTCCACGATCTCCTATCACCACCTCACTTCTCCCAACTTAAGTGATAAGGGTTCTATATCGAACAGAAATAATAAAAATGTCTCTCTCACACTCCACCTAATCAGGATCTTTACAGTTAAAAAATTCCAACATTTAATCACCTCTCCACTCGTAATCTAAATGTCAAACTCCACATCCCCATGCATATCGCCAATGCACCCTTAGACATCTGTACTCTACATCACCAATAGACACCCAACACACTTGGTGTTTGTCACTGATTTTTATACCATTGGGGCTTATGTGGAAGTTGTGGAGTAGTTGTTTGGTGATTTTTAGAAGAGCGTGATTTAATTCCTTGCATTCGAATTTGGTTCAAGTTGAAGAATTGTTCGAGTATGACCCAAATATTATTGTGCATGGGTATTTTGGTTGAAGAGGACTTGAAGAGGTCAAATTATAGAACACGGATAAAAACTCGGTGCATTTCTGCTCATCGTCCGCCCGTCTCTTACTCGAACAAGAGCTTTGGCACTCGCTATTGACATACTGTCGCTCGAACGGTGGAGTCACCGCTCGCTGGGTGCCCTCTTAACGCTCAAGCGACGGTTCATTCAAGCCAAGGCCCGTTTCACATTTTAATACTTTTTCAGCAATCCAATCCTTCCAAAACTCTATGTTTAGGGTTTATATATAATAACCACGACTTGTAAACATAACATAATATTCATAAAGACTTGAAAGAGTTTTGAATCTTGATTGAGAGCATTGAGATCTTGTGTAAAAAACTTTCATTATTGATTATAGTAAAATACTTTTCCTCTGTGGTTTTTTTCACCTTGGGTTTCACGAAAAAATATTGGTGTTTTTATATTTGTTTGTTTTTATTTCATCTTGCCAATTATCTTGTTGATTTCATAACGACATATATGCTCAGTAGCAGCTAGATAGAGTATGGGAGCTTCCAGGGTAGAATTTCAATGTGAGCTTTGCTTGTAAAGGATAAAGAAATCCTTATTTAGTGGCATTTCTGAATATGTTCATCATTGAACTTCTGCACGTACAAGGTCATCTAGGGGGGTTTTTCACCAATTTGAAAGTGTTGGAGGTATTCCGCAATAGAGGCAAAGTCAATGGAAATTTGCACCAATTACCCTTTATTTATCTAATTTTTATCTTTAAAAGGACCTCAAATAGTACCATAAAGAAGTTCCTTATAAAGTTACAACGATTATCGTGAGAATCTATTAATTTGTTGTCATAAACACTATTTGAGGGTAAGTTGAATATATATATTTTTTTTAATTGAAGATTTGGCATGTACACAACAACTAATGATACCGAGATTTTTTAAAAGATTTCTATGTAATTTAACATCAGGTTAAACTTAATTTACACCGTCAAAAGTTCCCATTATATTGATGCAGGCCCATCTTGAAATTTTAAGTATCTTGTGCACAATTTAAAATATAACCCATCTTTTAATTAAATAAGAAACATAAAGAAAATATTTGATAAAACTCTATTTAATACTTACAAAAGTAATACATACAAAATATAACAATTCAATATGTATTT